TCACGCACTCAAAAAGTAGAAGATTATAGATTCCATGACTTAGGAGTCAATACAATATTCCATAAGCAAACGGTACAAATCGATAATAAAAGTGCAGGAGATACAAAATACTGAGTACGCTTCGCCAGTACTCTAACTTACAACACGATATTATATGTGCATAGGCAGCTTATTTCTGCGTCAAGAGATACGAGAAAAAAGCTTATCAATATCAATATACTCATGGTGTTTTTAGTGATAAAGCATATATCTGTGGAGTCACGTACCGCCTTGAAGACTCTTAATAGAAGACTTAATATTTACGTTGAAGCCTATTCGCCATTGCTTGAAGCAGCATCGGTGGGGGAGGGAGAAAGCACAGAGGTGGTGGGGTGGGAAAGGACTGGCACCAAGATGGCCTCGAGTGGCATGGGAGAGTTAACGCAGCGAATATAGATGCACGACAGACAGACAATAATCCCTGGTGGGCAGTGTGGAACCTGTTGTTCCTACCTGTATGTAGAAAAAATAACTTGACTTTAGGTAGCCAGGCAGACAGCCCCCTTAACTATCGCCCCCCCCTCCCTTAGGCCCCTCCCCTGAACACCCCCTTCCATTATGCCCTCCCCTGAACACCCCCCCTCCCCCCCACCCCCCACCCCCCACCTTACCCCCCCCCCCCCCCACCCCCACCCCCCCCCCCCCCATATCCTTAGGCCCCTCCCCTGACCCCCCCCCCTTAGGCCCCCCCTGACCCCCCCCCCCCCCTCAGGCCCCTCTCCTGAACACCCCCCCCCCCATATCCTTAGGCCCCTCCCCTGACCCCCCCCCCTTAGGCCCCTCCCCTGACCCCCCCCCCTCAGGCCCCTCTCCTGAACACCCCCCCCCCCATATCCTTAGGCCCCTCCCCTGACCCCCCCCCTTAGGCCCCTCCCCTGACCCCCCCCCCTCAGGCCCCTCTCCTGAACACCTCCCCCCCCATATCCTTAGGCCCCTCCCCTGACCCTCCTCCCTTAGGCACCTCCCCTCTCCCATACCCGGAAGTAGGTCTCCACCAATCAAAGAGCTGTTTATGTTATATATTTATTTATTTATGCACGACAAACAAACAGACAGTCAGACAAACAGGACAGACAATAAATCCCTGGTGGGCAGTGTGGAACATTGTTCCTACCTGTATAATGTGGTGTATATATGTTACCATGTGTGGTTGTTATGATTTTTGTATGTGTATATATATATACTGTATATAGCATTTCGATTGTAACGATTTCATAAGCTCATTATATTATAATGGGTTTGTGCGTGTATTTATATAATATGCCGTCTTTTGCTATTCGATGACATTGAGATGAGACCTTCATCTTGCAGTGTAATACGACCGTGTTGTAATTTTTATCATTTTTATCCGATCCTTGCACGGAGACTATATATACATATGAGCAGAGTGTGATTCTAATACGACCACACTGTGATTCTAATGCTTCTAATGAGATTATAATACCTTACCTCCGTTTATATAGTTCTAAATTTAAACACTAGTTCATAGTCTTCTTGGTTCTTTCCGTAAAGTCACGTAGAAGAGACGTAATAAAATAAGTCTCATTAGAAGTATTAAAATCGCACTCTATAGATATGTATGTAAATTATCTGTTCAATCGATCCGGGGGTCGGATATGTGAACTGTGGGGGTACAGGACATGAATCGCATTCAAATTTTAGAATAACAATATGGTCCTATTAGCATTTTACTGTGCTTGAATGTATGTTATGTGCAAATGCAAATCGTTAGTCGTAAATGCGAGGGAGGGGTTAAGAGGTGCACGTTAAATCCAGTGTTAACATTTATTTTAGCATCATATTTAAGGACAATATTGTTGATAAGAATTCGTCTGGACATGGCACGTGCCTTGTTCTACTCGATCAACCAAAATTAGTACAATGTCGGTCATACAGGAGTGTGATTTCATTTATGAGTAGTATTCACAGAGCCCCGATGACACTAACCTACCTAAAGTTATGGTTAAACAAAGTAATCTTGAGTGGCTTAATTATCAGCTCAGACATGATCATCGCAATCATTTCCAAAGACGTGTGGGGTCCTGCGAGAGCAAGTCCCGACTACAAACAGCTGGGCAGCAGAATCTGAAGTAGGTGCGTCGCCCTCGAAATGTGATGTTGCTGCTGCTGGTGTCGCTACTGTTGTTGCTGCTGTAGTTGCTTCTGTTGCTGTGATATACGCAGGGAGGTGGTGTTCCGTGATGGGATGACGCCTTTGATTAAAGCCTCTGATCAAACTCACCCGATTGACGCCCTTGACCGTCGCATTTGATCAACTCTGATATTGTATACTCTCACATGTTAAGCTCTATCATAGTGAAACATGATATTTTAACCTATGAACTACAACCTATCCATTGTAACGCTGTAAAAGAATATTACCCATTGGGTTTCACTCCCTCGTCGAGAAGGCCGCTCTCTTCCTTTTCTAAAGTTACATGCTAATTTCTCTGCATTCACTTTAAATCGAGGACAAAGTTTTTCCATTTATTCAAAATAAGCGCACAATTACACACTGAGATGCACTTACATATTCATGCATGAAGCACAATGGGCACATTACCCTTCGGTATGTTAATAGACATGCGGACTGTGCCTTCCAAAATTAACAATCGAATGCAAATATTCTGAAAGACAAAGGATTGGATCCTAGGGGGGGAGTTATAAGGCGGCTCAGAAGCAGAGCTCAATGCCATTTCGAGAGGGAATTTGATGAGGTTGGACGCTCGACTCGTCGCTCTGCTGATCGCCCTTCAACCGCGAGACAACGCAGCCTGGCGAGCACAATTGCTGTGTCGACAGTTAGGCGACTTTGCGTCGGGAAAGTTCGTGGCGACATCTTCAGACGGGTTCCAGACATCGATATACCGTGAATCTCCAAGTAAGTGTCTATTTTCGCGGAACGTGTTCTTCGTCAAATTAGCGGGATTTTTTTGCATCTCGGTAAGACGCGAGTGTCGTTCTTGTTTTAGCAGTTAACAAAATCTAAAACTCAACGCTAAACATCCTTGCGGCTGATAGCGTACTTTTGACTCGATAACAGCGCTGCTGTTACTACGCTCACATGGAGCAGAGACGCTCTCCACAGCCCCACGCACACGGAGGCAAGAAGCCATTGAATTGCTCTGTGTGTGGGAAGTCCTTTTCATGGCCATCAGATCTTAAGAGACACCAGAGAACGCACACGGGTGAGAAGCCATTCCTGTGCTCTGTGTGTGGGGAGGCATTTGCACGGGCATCAACTCTTTAAACTCATCAGAGAACACACACGGGTGAGAAGCCATTCCTGTGCCCTGTGTGTGGGAAGGCATTTGCACACTCGTCAACTCTTCAAGACCATCAGAGAACACACACGGGCGAGAAGCCATTCCTGTGCCCTGTGTGTGGGAAGACATTTGCAAAGTCATCACATCTTCAGAGTCACCAAAAAACACAAACGGGCGAGAAGCCATTCCTGTGCCCTGTGTGTGGGAAGACATTTTCATGGTCATCACATCTTCAGCGTCACCAGAGAACACACACGGGCGAGAACCCATTCCTGTGCTCTGTGTGTGGGAAGACATTTGCACAGTCATCACATCTTCAGAGTCACCAGAAAACACACACGGGCGATAAGCCATTCCTGTGCTCTGTGTGTGGGAAGGCATTTTCACAGTCGTCAAATCTTAACACGCATCAGAAGGTCCACAATGATAGGAAACTGAAATCAAAAGCTGAAATTCAGGGTGCTGCAATGATTCCTGAAGATAATTCCACCTTCGATCCCATGCAGTTGGATCCCGAGAGATGGCTGGATGTAATGGAGTGGCTCGAGGATCAACCCGAGAGCTAGCGGTGACTGAAATATAATGTTGCATGCGGTTTTACCTATTAAGCTGTCTTGAGTACTTTTGTGTATCATTCTGACCCTTTAGTTTTACAGTTCGTTTGAGAGTTTCTTGACGTGCAGGTGGTGATTTTTTTATGTTGTCGGATTACTTTGTGAAGTGGTGTGATGAGCAGTGGTTGTGAGATGGTTCAATTCCGGACAATATTGTAGTGTTTAAGTCTTCCTGTTGAGCTAAAGTTGGAATGCATCTGGAGTCAGATCTTTACTCAACATTTTAAACGTTTTTTTCAAATATAAAGCTTTTATTGGTTGGTAATAATCGACTTTAGGATGTACATTGATGACGCGTTCGTTGGATATATGGCATTGACTTCAACATAGACGCACAGTGAACAAATGTGGTGAACTAATAAGGAACTTTAACGCTTTGGTATTCCTGGAACGGATATGGTTTGCATTGTGCTGTAACTGTTTGAACATAGGACATAATACATATTCGGTTGGAGTTTAAACGTAAAAATGATTGCAGATTAATAAAAACGTATTTTAACAAATGTTTGTCCGTTTATTTATTTTACAATGTTCATAGCAAAAACGTGTTTTAAGCGAGTTTCAGGTGGAGGATCTTCGTCACACAAATCTGCCCTTAACCGGCAGCATCTTGGCTGTCTCTCCATTAACATGTGTCCCTGGAGGGGAAAGGTCCCCATTATAAATCTATTCGCAACGTTACTGTCCCTAATCATCAAGTATGACATTTGAACTGTAACACTATCAACGATAACACGGATCGTCGACGGGGCCAAGCAGCGAATGTTTAACTCCAATCCCAAACTACATCTCCCCAACAAGGCAGCCTTCCCTCTGCTGTGTATTTTAGCCGTATATATTGAGGAAAACAATTCGTCAAGAAAAGGCATGATTACAATGTCTTTCATAAAGGAGTATGAGTTCATTTATGAGTAGTATTCGCTAAGCCCAGATGGCACTAGCCTGCACTCAGTTATGTTGAAACAAAGTAAACATTAGTCGCTCAAATCTCAGCTCATTCATGGTCATTGCAATTATTTCCAAATCCGTGTGGGGTCCCACGAGGACAGGGCACGGCCAAAAACTCTCACGTTATAAACTCACACTGTAAGCTCTAACATTATAAACTCTAACAATATAACTGTTATAGCTGTACATTGTAACGCTATAACAATAACACCGCAAACTACTTTTATAGTAAAATCTAATGTTGTAAACTCTAACAATAAAACCTATGAGCTCTGCATAACGTTAAAAATTAACATTATAAGCTAGTGTTATAGATTGGAACACCATACAATGAAGTGTGATATTGGAATCGCATTCGAATTATTAGAATTACTCCGTGGTCCTCTTAGAATCAAATTATGCTCGTTAGTACGTTACATGTCTATATGTAACATGTCTGTATGTAATATGTATGTCTGTTTGTAATATGGACGTGCGAACCAAGGTTGGGACCTGCGAAACGGAAGGTGCAGGATCAGGATGTGATAAAAATTTTAACACGTAGGCTTTCGCGACCAATGTTATTCATAATCAACGTTTTTGGGTTTAGATCGCGTTTATTTATAAATGTGTCGTAACCCTCAACCACCCGACACGGCCAATCAGTAAAAATGTGTCACGTTGACAAAGACAAATAGTTCACTGCTTTAGCCCACCGGTGTGTTGAAGCCACAACATTTACAATTTGTAAAGGGAGGGTTACGACACATTTATAAATAAACGCGATCTAAACCCAAAAACGTTGATTATGGATGAAATTTTTGTCGTACCAGACTTACACTGTGCTCAAATCTACGTTATATGTAAATACGCATCAGAAGACCAAAATGTGGCCTGCGAGGTGCCAGGTTTAGAATCGCATAAAATTATTAGAATCACACCATCATCGTATTAGAATCAAGTTGCCCACTGATTGATGAATGTTCCATCTCAATGGCATCGAATAGCAATACACAAGTATGGAAATATATAAATAATTGAACAAACCCACTTTGAGCTCGTGAGATTATGAATCGTTACAATTGTAATGACTCCAGACTCAGACTGTAGAGGGTTATTTTGTTTAGCCTTTACCACTGCTTAGGACGCCGGAATTACGATACAGCAACGACAACGACGATCCACCAAAACAGCCCCGAACCTCGTAATAGGTTTTTACCCTTTTAAACTGGTACAAAAGTTTAAAAGGGTAAAAACCTACTATATTTTGCCACTGGTAAAAGAGATCTCATAGTGAGAGCCCCGAACCTCGTTCCTCCCACCCTCTTATTCTCGGTGTGAATTCCCCCTCACCCTTTGTCCCACCTTCCTTTCTTGACCTCTATCTTATTGCCACCGCTTGTCCCTTAGTAGATGCACTGTCTTTACATCAACAATATGTTTTAGAAGCCACGTGCGTCAGGGCAGCAGATGTAGCAAAATTTCCCAAACCTAACACTCAACTGTACGGGGTAAGCGGTGTGACCACACTCACCCGTCAACAACAAGAAACAACACAATAACCACAACAACAATCCTAACACGCTTCCACGTTGTTCAACTGGACCCTTCAATTGTCCGTGTGTTGGGCTTGGATCCTACGAGCGCAACCTTGCGCATTTTGACCTGGTTCTCGACGCCGGTCCTTCGCCTATGGTAGAATCTTGTGCCTTTCGGGGCGTCAAGGGTTCGCACCATAGGCTTGAAGGGTTAGGCAGGTCCCTGGCTTCTTTTGAGAAACATGACTGGGCTCCAGGCACCGATTTCTCGCACGTGGCGGATCCTTGAAGCACCTCGGGCCTCAGGGGCTAGGAAACTGTGAGCGGCACAACACATTTCATTTGGAGTACGGTTTCCGTTGCCGAGCGCCCCACCACGTTGGACACACCAGACTTGGGCTGTACAGGACATGGGGATGAGCTGTCTGGGTGGGGACGGACATAGGTCTTGAGGCGCAATGGGTGGACGATCCAACGGCGACGCCCTATCTGTATTCGTTACACACTTAGGCCGTTTCACCTCTATGACTTGAGCTGTATCATTATAAACAATATCACTCAACATTAAATGGCTATAAACTGGTTTTCTAATTCATTACACCATAAACGGAGGTACAGTATTCAAATCTAATTAGAAGTATTATAACCACACTGCTCATCTATATATATAAAATCGTTCATGTCTGTCTGTCTGTCTGTGTGTGTGTGTGTGGACTTTGGCCCATACGCACTTTCATTGGACGGCGGTTGCCCCTGGCAACGGCTAGCCACGCCTTCGCCGCTTTCATTGGACCTGGCAACGGCTAGCCACGCCTTCGCCAAGGGCTGCAGTTTCATTGTACGGCGGTTGCCCCTGCCAACGGCTAGCCACGCCTTCGCCACTTTCATAAGCTCCGTATTTAATTAAATAATAGCCATTACACAGTATTGTTGGAGCGCTAGGGGGGGGGGGGAAGGAACGCCACCCGTACCCTGCCTCTTCCAAGCCGACAATTTTAGGCGAGGCCGCAGGCTTTGCACACTACTAGGCCTCGACACCCACCACGCCACTCTGAGGTAAATTCATCAAAGTTTTTCCTACTCTTCACTACACCCCCACCACAATGTGTGCTATTAATATTACTTTTAAACCCAACGCGCCAACAATCGATTACTTTAATGTTCACTGTACAAATACTCATTAAGCTGGGTGAGCGTACTGCCAGTCTATCATGTACACTGTAGCCTGCTTATTAAGCTCGGTGAGCGTACTGCCACTCTATCATGTACACTCTAGCCTGCTTATGAAGCTGAGTGCGTGTACTGGCAGTCTATAATGTGGACTCTTGCCTGGTTATTATAATCGATTCTTTATATGTTCTTTGTACAAACAGTCATTAAGCTGCTTGAGCGACCCCAGTTCGATTCCAACTCACGCCCACCACCGCTGACGATTATTTGAAACGGACCTGGCCCTCCCCTAGGTCCACTCAGCCTCAAAAGCGTAACTGCTGTCGTGTGTGAACATCGTCACTGGGGAGACAAAGGCGGCGGGGCATCGTGGATCCAAGTCCCGGGCGAAGCCGGGTCATGTGTATGTGTGTTTGTGTTTATGTGTATGTCTGTGTGTCTCTATGTATGTGTGTATGTATGTGTATGTATGTGTTTGTGTGTATGTGTGTGTGTATGTATGTGGGTTTTTTTTATGTCTTTATGTGTATGTCTGCGTGTCTCTATGTATGTGTGTATGTACGTGTGTGCATGTGTTTGTGTGTATGTATGTGTGTGTCTATGTATGTGTGTGTCTATGTATGTGTGTGTATGTGTGTGTATGTATGTGTGTTATGTGTCTGTCTGTGTCTGCATGTATGTGTGTGTGTATTGTGTATGTGTTTGTGTGCATGTATGTGTGTGTTTGTGTGTATGTGTATGTCTGTGTGTATGTGTTTGTGTGTATGTGTGTGTATGTATGTGTGTGTATGTGTTTGTATGTGTTTGTGTGTTTACGCTCGCATTACACAAATGTGTTGCTGGTCTAAGGCGTTCCTCGCACAGCATTGCCGCTTTATTATTTCAGTCGTTTACTGCCTTACGCACCCTGAAAGTCGTGTGTGTCTGCAGCAAGCGCGTGTATGTGTACCTATGGACGCGCGCGCGTGTGTTGTGTAGGGGGAACGGTAGTGTAGTGCTTAGCGTGCTGTCTGTGTGTCTGTGTGTGTGTGTCTCTGTCTGTGTCTGTCTGTGTGTGTCTGCGTGTGTCTGTGTGTGTGTCTGTGCGTGTGTGGTGTGTGAGGAGCGGTGGGTGTAGTGCTTAACGCTACGCTGCGCTACCAACCCGGCGAACCCAG